ACAAATGACAAAAGCACATAAAATTACAAAAAAATTCTATGAAATTATAAAAAAATACAAATCTAAAAATAACAGCTAATTCTAAATATTAATCATATTAAATAAAATCTTAATGAAAATATGATAGTAAATAAAATAAATAATACTAAAATAACACAGATTCTACACTGGTTGAGACTAAACTAGCACAACGTTTTTTGGACCACGGTAGTACCATGATATTCTTTGAAATACTTTGGAATACCATGGTATTATCATCTGACACCATCTGTTTACCATGGTAACTTCACAGTATTTTTTGTCAGGGTACATATGCTATATTCAGAAAGGAAATCATAATTCAGCTGAAACAAAACATGGAAATGGACGTTTCTGATGCCAGTTTAGCAACTGCCAATTTACTACTTCTGTGTGTTTGTCCTCTAGAAGAAAGTCATCCGAGTTTGGAACGACAAACATTTTCCTAAACTACTCCTTTAGCTGTCGCGGTTTGTGACTTTCATGATAGGAATTCCAGACTCGGATAGGAGAGCTTTCCTCTGTCTGCTCAACAGATATAATGGCTGTCAGTCACATGCAAGAAACTTCCTATTAGTCAGTGCCGGAGGGGGGAGGGTCTGAGCGTTTAGACATTTTCCACTTTGGAATTCCACCTGCAACCATTTTCAGCAAAAACAGTAACTCCACAAAGCAAGCATGTGAACCTTACCTCCAGTTCGGTCTCCCATCTGTTGATGTTATCTGTCGACTGATTCAGTTTCTCCAGTTCACCCTGTTGAAGAGATAAAGTGAGGCAGAAGGAGTTAAGAAAAACCAGTTCATCTAGCACAACTAGCACACACAGTCTAACACAGAAAGGTTCTTCACTTTCAAGAGAAATGCATCATTTAAAATGATAGTTCACCCAAAAATGAAAATTACCCCATGATTTACTCACCTTCAAGCCATCCAAGGTGTATATGACATTTTTCTTTCAGACGAATACAATTGGAGTTATATTAAAAAACGTCCTGGCTCTTCCAAGCTTTATAATGGGAGTGGATGGTAGCCCAAAATTTGAAGTCCAAGAAATTGAACCAATCCATTATAAAAGAAGTCCACACGGCTCCGGGGGGTTAATAAAGGCCTCCCGAAGCGATGCGTTTGTGTAAGAAAAATATCCATATTTACAACTTTATAAACCTTAATCTCTAGTTTCCGCTAACTGTTGTACGCGCGTTCACGAGAGAGTGGTGTCCAGCGGATGACGTAGCACGTAGGCAAACTCGGTGACGAACGTGGAAGCGCAGAGGAGAGAGCAAAACAAAACACCGGTCACAAATTAGTAATACAAAATGAGGATTTATAAAGAAAAATGTCGGAGGATTTCAATATAAGCCAAGAGGACACTGGTTTTCCTTTGCTGTAAACAAAACTTGTTTCTCGCGAGACTAGCATATTCTCGCCGGAGTTTACGCTACGCCTACGTCATCCGCTGGACACCACTCTCTTGTGAACGTGCGTACGACAGTTAGCGGAGGTTAGAGATTAAGGTTTATAAAGTTGTAAATATAGATATTTTTCTTACACAAATGCATCGCTTCGGGAGGCCTTTATTAACCCCCCGGAGCCGTATGGACTTCTTTTATAATGGATTGGTTAAATTTTTTTGGACTTCAAATTTTGGGCTACCATCCACTCCCATTATAAAGCTTGGAAGAGCCAGGATGTTTTTAATATAACTCCGATTGTATTCGTCTGAAAGAAGAAAGTCATATACATCTAGGATGGCTTGAGGGTGAGTAAATCATGGGGTAATTTTCATTTTTGGGTGAACTAACCCTTTAAAATGCATTAAAAGTTTCACTTCTTTTAATGAAAGTACTACAAGTGGACATTTGAAGCAAAACATGTTGCAAAAAGACAAATGATAAAATAATAGATACAGCGTTCAAAAAGAAGTAGTATCTGGACACTGAAGTCATTCTTGAAAATGTCTACATGCCATTGCATTAGAAAGTGACTTTTAGTGCATGTGTGTGTGTAAATTTGCACACACACACACACACACACACACACAGATGCAAAAGCCTCTAAGTTTCTTCTGAAATTTTCATCTAAAATGAGCATTTTTATCAGGCTCCTATATATTCATGTTCAGTTATTACACTATAATGTTAAAAGGACCTATACATAGACATTTAAGTAAAATTACTGAACCTATTAGGAGCCTGATAAAAATATTAATTTCAGGAGGAAATTTCAGATAGCACTTAGATGCTTTTGCATCTGAACTCTTCATATGTATGTGTATACATATATATATATATATATATATGTATGTGTATGTGTATGTGTGTGTGTGTGTGTCTGTGTGTGTGAGTGTGTGTACCAATGTACCTACTTTTTATATTTTTAGGACTTTTTAGTGAATAAAAAGAATCGTAGGCCTATTATTCTTACACCTCATAAAGCAGACTTAATTCTGCATGTGCTGCACGTGAGCTCAACTGTTTCCTTTACCAACCCGATCTCATGAAAGTGCGTATAAATAGTACGCCAAATAAAAACGAAAACTCGTGGTATTGATACGCAAAAATGGACTTTGGCGTGTATATGCTACGCGATGGGTAGGTTTAGGGTTGTGGGGTAGATGCGTATCATATGTTCGCGAAAACTGCGTATCATATGCACGCCAACAAATTTCGTATCATATGCACGCGAAAACTGCGTATTATATGCACTCCAAACACATGCGTATAATATGCACGCCAAAGTCCATTTTTTCCTTTACAGAGGAAATTGAGTTCTAAATATGACGGCAAAGTAAACATGATTGTCAACGCGGTTCCTCAGTGTAACAAACTATGAAACAATGTAACAGAATATAACAGCTGATGTAACAATGGGGTTCCCCCTATCAGATCAAACAGCAGCTGCTGAACTCTTTGAACAAACAGAATAAGCTATTATCTGATCGGATTATTAATGCTTGAATCCAATCAGAGTCTGATGGCCCGGTCTAACTTCAGTTCTGATTTTGGAAAGGTTAAACAGGACTGAGAAAATAGGAGCAATTTAACATAAGTAACAGTAATACCTAATCCGGTTTAAATGGGTTTGTCGATGTGAATTCGGGATTTTGTTGCTCTGTACCTGAATCCTCGGGTCAACCTCCTCTTCCTCCAGAGCTTCCGAGTCTTCATCCGATTTGTTATCTTTCTCCGTGTCGTTCATTTCGATAGCAGACGTGATTCGTTTATTACTGGCCGAACAAAGCGGGTCTCTGTCCGGGATAACGGGCTCCGATGATCCGTGCGGAGCCGCTCATCTGCGGTCAAACCATCAGTGCATCCAGAAAACGCGATTAAAACAAAAGCACACAATCTTTCCTCATATGCAAAAGATACTAAATCTGCCGAGACACAAACACACACACACAACACCGGCATACACGAGAATGAGAAGCGGCTGAGATCTTGCCCGCCCCCTCCGGTACAAACACTCGCTGTCCTGAACGAGGGTCACTGCAGTTCACATGCACACACTCACACACTGCAGCGCTGTTATTTCAGTGTCATTCATGTTTTGAATTAGGTATTTCAGTTTTCATTTTAATTTTAGTTTTAATTTAGATTAGATTCAACTTTATTGTCACTCTGCAGTTAGCATCTAACCAGAAGTGCAAATAACAGAGTATATAAATAAATATAGATTATGTATGTATACATTAAGATTTATGACATATAGTGCAAGTTATGAGGTAGGAGGGCGGAGACCAGCTCAATGCAAATGACTGTACATACAACATAGGGTGCAAGGAAAGTATAAACAGAAGGTGTATTATACAGTGAGGTACGTAAATAGCATATGTTTATTATTACACTGGATTGTGTATTAGGCATTTTTTACTATTACACACACATACTATTTAGTGTTATTTTTATTTCAGGTTCAGTTTTAGTAATTTTAGTACTTCGATTTATTGTATTTAAATGAATTGCCAAGGTAACATCTATTAAATATTTTAGAATAATAATCCTATATCAATCAATGTTTCATCAAATATTTGTATTTTGTCTTATTTCAGCTTTTCAAAAATGTATATTTTTTTTTAAATACTAATGCACTTTTTGTTTTTGTTTTTTTCAACCCTGTTAGATACGTAAAAAATATTGAAGACACTGAAGGCACTAAACTTTAAAACGACGAAATCCCAATAAACATTCTGTGTGTGTTAGTGATATAGTGATCGTTGAATGTGATTCAGAAAAAATGTCTTCTCAATCAGTTTGCGAAATACTAAAAAAACGTAGTTTTTCCTGGTTCAATCCAGTGTGATCTTATTTGCTGTCCAAACAAAAAACTCTGTGTCAAACATAAACACAGACACGGCTACCGGATGCTCAGATAAAGTTCAATTATTATTAACCCTCTCTGCTTTTCAGGAGCCTGTTTACAGTTCATATACTATTTTTACTTTAGTCCTAAAAACGTAGTATATTAAAATAATAAAAGATATAGCATCTAGAGAGCAGATAAATAAATAGATGAGCAGATGAAGGACAGGTTTATCAGTTTCCAAATGAATACTGACCCTAAACCTGCTTTGGGCAGAGGTCAAACACACCAAACACTGGACTAATGGCGCACTCTAGTGGAGTAGAATAGATAAACAACTGAAATCGTTTCAATCTAGTGGAAAATAAGTTCTATACAGTTCAATTTCAAGACTCTTTTTGGGTGTTTTCCGTGTGTTTTAAATATAATCCCATAATGTCTATGATATAATATATTCCTTCTTAGAAGAATAGAGAATAGAATGTTCTTTAATTGGTGACTTGGAATAAAGTTGAAGGCAGAAGCCAACAAAGCACATGTCCAGCATATACTTGAATGAATATATGATATGACATTTATTATGATTGTTCATATAGAAAAATATTCATGGTATGAAGTGTAAACAGTTGGGAGAAAGGCTGTCTCTTTAGAGATGGTTCCTTATGAAGATGATGACGGTGGGCGCGTGTGTTGTCATGTGACGTCATCCTGCCAAAGGACAGGCGTTGCTCTCCGCACAAGACAAGAGGGCTGAACCGGGTCCGGCCCTGCTGGCCCATTTCAGGAAGACTCCAATACAGGCCGATATGAGACAGTGAGAGCGCAACAGAACCAGAATCATCTGCGATCACCATGACGACGCAGCCTTAGTGCTCAGCATCAGCATCATCCGCATCATCCGCGGCTCAGGTGCGCCGTCCATCCTTCAGGCAGGCAGGCAGGCAGGATGGAGTTCAAAGAGCTGGTGGACACCGCCGAGAAATGGTGCTCCGGGAACCCGTTCGACCTGATCTTCGCCGAGGATGTGGACGAGAGGCGACTGGACTTCTACGCCGAGCCCGGGATCTCGTTCTACGTGCTCTGCCCGGACAATCTCACCGGAGGAACCGACAATTTTGTAAGTATGACATAATCTAGTAAGATCCTCGGGGGTGGGGGGGGGGCGTGAGTGAATGCTGTTGTGTTCGAAATACTCTCTTTTCTCAATTACAGAAAGTACTATGGTAAATAAATATGGTAAGTATGTTTTCTGGCCAGAATATATTTTAAATATATGCTACGTGGATGTTGTAAACTGTGGAGCTCAATAAAATATATTTTTTGAAATTGAAAATATATTCAGTTTCAACCTTCACATACCGAAATATATTTCAAAATGTATTTCATGGGAGGGCGGGGGGGGGGGGGGGGGGGGGGCGTGAGTGAATGCTGTTGTGTTCGAAATACTCTCTTTTCTCAATTACAGAAAGTACTATGGTAAATAAATATGGTAAGTATGTTTTCTGGCCAGAATATATTTTAAATATATGCTACGTGGATGTTGTAAACTGTGGAGCTCAATAAAATATATTTTTTGAAATTGAAAATATATTCAGTTTCAACCTTCACATACCGAAATATATTTCAAAATGTATTTCAGGGGCAAGAAAATAGTGCGAAAATTGTAATATTGTTCTTCAAATGTGACGCGTGAATGTATTTTCTTGGACTGAAATATATGGAGGGCAAAATGTATATTTTTAAATGCTTTTAAAAATATATTTATATTTTAAAATAAAATCTAAATGAAACAAAAATATATATTGGTAGAAAATATATAAAAATAAATATATTTTATATGTAAAATACATTTTGAAACATATAGCAACTTTAATTTTGGGCCATTTTTGTACGCTTATATGTAAAATATAATAGATTTTTTTTTGACGGGATGGTGCACATTGAAGTTAATTGGAGTATTACAGAAATATGAAGGTGGTAATAATTCAGTATGATATATATAAGACTTTTTATTCTTGCACATGTTTTGAGGCCTTCATCTCAAAGCAGATGAAATTATGTCACTGGTTTTGACTGCAGTACTCCATACATGCTTAGCTGTTTTTTTCTTTTTTTGATGTGTAGGATTGTAAGATGCAACAATTTCATTTTAGAAGTTTAATATGCAGGGTATAGACTGATGCATATGGCCTGGTCAGACAGGCACGGGTCATTAATGCAGGTGTTTTATCAGCACAAAGTTCTTATGCACACAGTTCACTAGACACTGTCTCAGAGGAATAAATAGTGCAGATATTCTGTTTTTTAGTGCTGTGATGTAGTAAAAACAAATGCAGCATTTGCATTGATGCTTCTCTTGCGCATGTCTGTTAGATGCATGTTTGCTTTCCATTCAGGAATCGGTTTAAAGGTTTGAAATGAACCACGAGAGTTTACTGTAGTTCCCTCAAATCACAATACATGACCAGACCACTTCAGACCGCTGCACCAGAGTCCCAGAGCTCACAAAAATATCAGCACATGACCGGCAGAACAGGGATCTAATTACTCACACCCATCAATACACCGTTCAATAGGATCACAGAGAGAGAGAGAGAGAGAGAGAGATTTTACTTTATTAATAGATAAAAACTACAGTGGATCCAAAAAAAAATGATTAGGCATATTTTAGCAAGCTTGCATTCAATCTTTGTCAACCTGCTTTTCACAACCAATTTCATTTCATTCTTATTGAATATTCTGTTCACCTGGAAATATGTTGGATTATAAGTATAAGGGGTTGTGAATGGCCACTAATGTTGACTTTAAAATAAAATGAAATGAAATCGTGACAGATTATAAGAATGATGCTTTAGCACAACTACTCACAGCTAACTACAACTGAACTGAATTTTGTTGAGCTCCTCTGATTTGGCCTGTGGTGTTTTTTCCTCCTGGTTCCTGTGAGCTCTGGACAGATGCATAAATAATCAGCCTGTCTCTCTGAAATCAGTAAAAGAAAGTTTTCTCTTCAGGGCATTTGCTCACAACACAGCTTGAGCGGTGATCTCTGAAGAAAGACAGAATGTGTAGAATTAATTCACCACGTGTTGATGTCCCCTGCTGAAACAGGAAGTTGGGCTGGGACATATCAATATTAATAACCTTTAACCATTGTTGAGCATTAGAATTCTGCAGACTTTTACATTTTACATCTGTGTATTTACTGAATTTTAGTTCAAGTTTGCTTGTGCATTTTGCTGCATTAGCTGTTTTCTTCTATTTAATAAAACCATAAAATAAAATGAAATGAAATCGTGACAGATTATAAGAATGATGCTTTAGCACAACTACTCACAGCTAACTACAACTGAACTGAATTTTGTTGAGCTCCTCTGATTTGGCCTGTGGTGTTTTTTCCTCCTGGTTCCTGTGAGCTCTGGACAGATGCATAAATAATCAGCCTGTCTCTCTGAAATCAGTAAAAGAAAGCTTTCCTTTTCCCTGCTGAAACAGGAAGTTGGGCTGGGACATATCAATATTAATAACCTTTAACCATTGTTGAGCATTAGAATTCTGCAGACTTTTACATTTTACATCTGTGTATTTACTGAATTTTAGTTCAAGTTTGCTTGTGCATTTTGCTGCATTAGCTGTTTTCTTCTATTTAATAAAACCAAAAGGTGTTACATACACTGGAATGGTGTAAGCTTATTTTTATTAGAATTCTCTCTTCTATTGTATTCCATTTTTTCCCCCTCATTAAACATTTTTCTCAAATGCAGTTTGGCAGGAGAAGATTATTTGGGCCATCTACTGAAAAATGGTCCCTCTCGCTCGGATAAATATAACGGGACAAAGCGTTTTAGTGTCCCAGATTCTCTGCTGAAAGCTCAACTTTGACTTCAGAGAATTTCTTTTAACCATATATGGACCCATTTTATAAATCCAGAAGTAAAAATATCAGGCAGTTTGAGTTAAAATATTTTTACAACATTCATATTTTTAGTCTGATTGTAGTTTCCATCTGACAAACAAATTTTTCCTATTGCAAATGCTTACGAAATGTGTAAAGGTTTTCATGAACATGCAAAACACTGTTTACATGAAGCACAAATATAAAATTGACTGTACATTTATGCATTTGGCAGGCGCTTTTATACAAAGTGACTTAAATTGCATTTAATATAGATTGTTATCAGTTCATGCACTTGCTGGGAATCGAACCCATGACTGTGGTGTTCGCAGCATGTTTGAGCTTCAATGTAAAGTGTATTTATGGAAAAAAAAGACAAAACACCCCACCAGATTTATTTGGGAAAAAATAGAGCAGTATTAAAATTTGGTTGAAATATGGCTGAATAAATATTTATACGCACATACAATTAAATCTAAAACTAAATCTTAAATAAATACCTAAAATTCTAAATCATAAAGATGCATTTAAACATCATCATCAACTATAAATGCAGATCTTGAGCTAAATGTTTAGTTTTCTGTGAAGCTGCTGGTGAAATGATGTATTTGTGTGTGTTCAGCATGTGTGGAGTGAGAGCGAGGACTGTCTACCGTTCCTGCAGCTCGCGCAGGACTACATCTCCTCCTGCGGGAAGAAAACACTGCTGGAGGTACTGGACAAAGTCTTCAGATCCTTCAGGCCTGTAAGTCTCTCTCTCTACATTCTAAGAATAATTCTAAGCAAAATAAACAATTATACAGTTTCTTAGTTTAACTTTTAATTTTTTACATTTTTTAATGCATAACGTTTGCCAAGCAGTCCATATAAGCTGTGAATGCTCTGCATACGCAAGCCATTTGAGAGATTGATATTTTTGAGAATTATAATGATAAATTCCCTTGGCATTTGAGGTGTAACATAAGGCTTACATAATAAAATATTGGAAATATGCATGTAACTGGCGATTTTCTGCAAATCTGTGCCAGTTACAGAGGCCTTCGACGTTGGCGTCTGTACTCTTTTGCTATGAATCGTCATTATTGTTGCATGGTTTCATTAGTTTGTTGGCAGGCGGGTGATTTCATGCACAAGGAAAGCTGAAAAGTCACACTGTATCTGATGCTAAACTAAAAACGCGACTAAATCAAATGAAAATGTTGTAACTGTACATTTTCATGGTTTCTCAAACAAACCGAATGCTGAAAGTTCACTGAAAACATATCTTCTTACATTTTTTTGGCATAAACAAAGTGTGTTGATGGTATTTAGAAACATGCTTGAGCAAATGAATCAACGTGAACATTTCTGAAGAGTTTTATTGTTCCGTTTGTTTTCCCCATGCTTGACAAATCTTGCATGTGTGACGTGTGTACAGACATTTTTCAAATGTTTTGAACGTGACTGATGTAATCAGGTTTTAAAGCCAAAACTATCTGTTTGCAATCTTATAATGGAATCTTTGGAATGTCAATGCGTGTTACTTTTAAAATTCAGTTTTGTTCTGTTCTGGTTTGATTCTATTCTATTTTGTATGGAATGATTGTGAAATTGTCCTGCAGCTCCTGGGTCTTCCAGACATTGACGATGAAACATTCGATCAATATCACGCAGACGTGGAGGAGGAACCAGAGCCAGACCACCAGCAGATGGGTGTGAGCCAGCAATAATGCCCAGCAGAGAGGCTCCGCGCTGGGCCACAGTCTCTACATCGAGCCCTGCTCTCCTAACCTAACTCACCTGGCTCTTCTTCTTACATACACAAACACACACCGCACCATTACATCATTTAAAATCTGGACAGCTTTTCCTGCACCCTGATTTTAACTCAAATGATCATTATTTTGGTTTATATGATTTCTCATTAACTTCTCATCACATTCAAGCAGAGACAAAACAAATATCTCATTATAATTGTTTTTTTATATAGCCTGTCATGTGACTGGAGGTAGTAAATAAGAAACTTATGTTCAGAATGGTATACTAGTGTACTGTACATTGCTGCACTGTCGTCACATGAGCTCATTACTTTGCATGTTTAATTCAGTGTCATGCAGTTGTCGAAAATTAGGATGTTTTGCATTTCGCATCCAATTTTAAAATTTTAAAAAATCGCAGTCGGTATCACGTCCTATTCATTCATCAGATTGGAAATGGAAGGTAAATGACATTTTGATCAATTCTATCATCCGGGTATTTCTTGCAAACACAAATTTTACATGCAAAATAGTTATAGTAGAATGCTAGTATGATATTCTGAACATAACACTTGTGAATTTGCCTTAGGTAAATAATTAAGGAAAGTCGCTTTTTTTATGTGCACCGATGAATTGTTGACAATAAGACCAGGAACATGTATTAAGAAAGTAAATATGGTCAATTATTTTGATTTCATGTTGACTGTGGATAATCTAGATATCCATTGTGGATTTACTATAACCGTGAATAAGACATTTAACCCGAGGTCTTGTGCTTTAAATCGCTCCAAAATATCTGCTAAATGACAAATAACCAAAGCTGATTGCAAGTGCATACAAAGTATCTGTTGTCAAGGATCAAATTAAACAAGATCAGAAGGTAAATCTGATTATCGCTGGGGCAGAGGTGATGGGGTTAGTGTGTTTTTGGGTGGGTGAGACGTTTAAACAGACACTTGAGTAATCCTCTCTTTGCCTTTATTGTCTTTTGATTGTATTAATCAACATCCTCTGAGTTCAGAACAGTTAACTCAGAGTTTAACCAGAGAAAGGTCAAACTGTGTATCTAAGTCTAAACTCTTAAAATAAAGGTTCATCTGCGGTTCGACACTGAATCCAATTCTTATCAAGATCCGTTTTTGGCCTCATAGGGTTCTTGAGTTGACATGGACTTCTTTAAAGGTGCTCTACACGATTTTTATATATAGAATCAGCACACACCCATTTGCTGTTTAAATATGTAGTGCAGTGATGACATCCTTATCAGAGAGTGAAGTCTGCACAAGAAAAATGTAACTAATCTGTTACAGATACTGAGAAAAAAAATGTGTAATTAAATTACAGTTACTTATGAAAATGTTAACAATTACAGGGCTTACATCTGAATATTTTCACACACACACACACACACACACAGACACACACACACACACACACATCTTAGTGAGGACATTGTATAGACTTCCATTGATTTTCTATCGGGTTAATGATATTTTCTGTCAGCTAACCCAACCGCTTCCGCTAAACGTATCCATCACAGAAACATGTGCAGAACACTAGATTTACATTAACATCTTTTGGCTGATTTATAAGCCTCTTTAACTAGTGACGGCCAGTGAAATGTCCTCACTAGTGGTTTGTCATGATCTTTAACTATATAAGTGAGGACATGTGGTCCTCCCAAGTATAGTTAAACCAGTACACACACACACACGTACAGATTTAATTGATTTTATTGATGAAATAGATTTTTTCCCAAAATGTCTTGACTGTTCTAAAATATGAGACACCAATGTTTCAGGAGTTTAAAATAGGACACATGCTTATTCGATAACTGTTTTATTTTCTATTTGTGTTTATGTATATGCTTTATTTTTTAAGATTAACTGTATCCTGACATATTTGCTACGCAAAGATTTGATTTTAAAAAACTACTGTGTCTTATGATCTTAAATTTGTATTTAACCTCAGAATGATCTCAAAGTAAAAAAAAAAAAAAAAAAGGTGCTAAAGTCTGATTTTGTGGTGACTATGCTTTAAAGTGAAATTATTATAATCTTAATTCAAGTGGATTTTTGAGGATTCTGAAAGTCTGGCAGTAATCAGTGTTGAGTACTATACTGTAAGGTTAACCCTGCCTGGTTTACATGTTTAAAAATGTTTAACAGTTAAAAACATTCATTTGAAATGTAGAAAAGTAATCCAAAAGTAATCAGTTACATTAATAAGGTAATTGAAATAGTTACACTACTTATTAAATTTTAAATAGGGTAACTTCTTGTAATCTGTAACCTATAACTTTTCCAAGGCAACCTTCCCAACACTGGTGTCTTGTAATCCGAGCTTTCATGGGTTTTTTTTTTCGGCAGTCGGGACGGCCGGGGCGTGTTTGTTATTGTATGTAAGCCACTCCCTTTAAAACTTATGCCCCACCCCGCATTTATAATGAAACCGCCTACACCGCTCTGGAAAAGCAAGATGGCTTGTTGTCTACATTTACCTCTGCAAGACGTATTTTTTTAGAGTGTTTGAAAAAAATACGCCGATAGCACGTTTCCTATCAGATGTCTAATAGACGTTTAGAAAATGTCTTTAAGATGTTTATGATTTAGAGTGTATGTAAAACTGACATCTGAAAGAAGTCTATCAGCAGTGTGCTATCTGGGTCGTTATCTTTCGAGTTTTTGATGTGTTGTGTGAGAAGTGGTGTGGCCGAGGCACACATTTTGGTTTGAGATGCACTGCTCCCGTGCAACATCTAGTAGCTGAGAAATCATAGCACCTTTAAAGAAGGCGTTGATTAGGAAGTTCTTAAAAATCTGTTTTTATAGCATTTTTAAAAAAAAGAACCAGAGACTAAATAGTTGGAATTGTAATGTAACATCAAACTGTAAAACCCTGGATATCACCAGAACCTTTATTTTTAAGAGTAGGCCCATATATATCAGCTGATTCTGGTGACTGCTGTGTAATGGTCTTGTGACCTGATGTCGCAGTTGCCATCATTTATCTGCTGTCATTTTATCAGTACAAACACTTCATGATGGAAGGACTGCACAGACAGCCACAGGAGAGGACATAATGTATGTGAATATGCTGACGTTACACATGTGGCCGCTAAACTTCCTGTCTTCTGCTTCCATAGTGTCTTCCTGCACACGCCCAGTCTAAAGTGAAGCCTAGAGATGAATTATCCCAACATTAAATGGAAGTGTTACTGAGATAAAAGCTGCTGTTTTTATGTAGTTATGTAACAGCTCTGTACCAGATTGTGATATTTTATTTTATTTTACTATTTATCTATTTGTCCCATGGTCTAAACTTCTCAATTTTGCCACTTTTTGTGTAATTTTACTTTCTTTTGCTTGACTTTATGTAACTTAACCTTTTAAAAATGTATTTGTTTGTTTATATGTATTAATTTTTTTCCCCACCTGACTGTCTTCATTGTGTAACAGTGAAAGCTTTATACCGGATTTGTGATTTCTATTTTATTTATTATTTATATTATTTATTAACATTTATCTATTGCTTATTATTAGCCCTTTTATGATTTATTTATATACTCCTTTGTGTGTGTAAATCCATATTTTCGTCACCTTTATAACTAATAATTTAATTTCTAAGAAGATTGTTCAAATCTTACAGTGTGGTAATTGGAAATATTGTTATTGATTTTAGATTAATATTGATCAGCCTGTTGAGCCTGTAGAGTCATTTAGAATTAAACTGGAGTAAAATTCGTTTGGGTCAGCATGTACTGTAACCTAAAATTCAACAATTAAATTTGAGTGTTTGAGAATATGAGTGTATTCTGTATTTCTTAGCCTTAAAGGGGTCATATGATGCGATTTAAATTTTTCCTTTCTCTTTGGAGTGTTACAAGCTCTTGGTGCATAAAGAAGATCTGTAAAGTTGCAAAGACTAAAGTCTCAAATCCAAAGAGATATTCTTTATAAAAGTTAAGATTCAGCCACGCCTACCTAAAACGGCTCGTTCTAACACGCCCCCACATGTCTACATCACTATGTGGGAAGATTTGCATAACGCCGCCCAAATGTTCACGCAAAGAAAGAAGTCGTAACTTTTATTCTCGCTGTAGTATTGTTGCTGCCGCCGCCGCCGTGTCATGAAGACGCTGTGTGCTTCGTTGTGAAAGAGAAACTACTTTGTTTGGTCTTCCAAAAGAGGACGATATCCACTTTGTCATGCCTAGAGCTGATCTGTGCTGGTCGCTGAGGAAATACATCAACTTCGCACGGTGGATCGCCGACAACAATAATGTACAGTATGTGGAAAATAATGTGTTTTTTGAACCTTAAACCGCATAAACACATTTCATTACACCAAATACACAAAATAATGTT